AAATACCAATAAAGTAGCCACACTTACGAAGGCTGATTCAGGGAAGCCTCTGCCTTCAAGATTTTTTTTCCCCCTGGTATGGGAGCTCAAACTCAGGACCTTACGCTTGCAAGGCAGGTGCGGTGCCACTGAACTAAATCCCCAGCCGGTTCAAGAATTTCACTGGAACAATACTCGTAGATAGGTTACTGGGTCTTTCAGATTTCCAGGAAATAGGATTTCATAATTTTCCTTTATAGCCTATCCCTGAACTTAACTTTGATAATTCAATGTGTAAAGTATCGTGCCAGGTTTCTCAGGAATACAATGAGAGCCATATTCCTTCTAATCATTTGTAATTTACTTATATTTAGCAATGATAATAGCAGCAACTAACATTTGAATGCTAACTATGTGCCATTATGTCATTTAAAACAAACCCTACATGGTAGGCACAATTAGCTTCATTCTACAGATTAAAAAACTAAAACCAGGTCCACAGAGTTTAAGTGACTTATTAGGTCTGAGGCGCTCACCAGAGGCACTTTTTCCTACGCTTAGTGCTCTGCTGTGACCAGAAAAAAATCAGTAAGCCCTTCTGAGTCCTCAATTTCTTCATCTGAAAATGGAAACATGGTACATGCTTTTCTAGATTTCATCCAACTCTAAAAATTTGAGTCTCATTAAAAGTCTCTTCTTGAAGTTTAATTTCAAGTGGTCTTAGTCTGTGATTGGAACTGGGACTGATAAGCAAAAACCTTGAATGTGCTTGAAAAATGTCATTCTACAATTTTTTTTCTCTCTAGTAAAAAACTCAAAACCCCAAAAATAAAAAGGTACACATTTTATCTTTAATGCCACTTACAAATGACTGTCTTTACTTTGTTTGCTAGGTTAACTATGATCCAAGAGTTGACTTTGCACAAAAGAACCCAGTCCTCTAAACTCCCAATCTTCTCACACAGTGGCTAGAAGACTAAGTCAAAAAGAAGGTATTTTTAAGCCTACCTTATATGGAAGCCACTCTGCTGCTATTCCCTAAGGTATTACCAAAGAAAAGGAGAAAGTCCCCCTACTCTCACAAAGTTCAGCATAAGCCTGTTACAGTTTACAATTCATCTACGTTAATGATTGGGAAGGGGGCCTCAAATACCTCTAATTTGTAACACTGATCAGGATAATACTTGGAGGGTGTGAAGACTGAGTACCCTAATGACCAACCTGGCTTGCTTGGAACTTTCCCAGTCACAGCAATGAGAGTCCAAAGTGCTGGGAACCCCTTGGTCTCAGACAAACCAGATGGCCAGGAACACTACGAAGAAGCCCTCAAGTCCCAGAACCCAAGGACACCTAATGTGTACTGGATTTTAACCGTGAAGTCTCCATGAGGATCCTGAAAAGGTCATATGAAGAAGAAACAGAAGAAAAGGTGCTTATTAGTTTTTATTGGGCTGACCTGATACCTCCAGAGAAAGCTATAGGAAAGCTATAAAGGGAAGCACAAGGACAAGTCTAAAGAACAACGGTCTTACCATATTTTCAGATTCTGGAAGTAAAGATCCTTTGCACCCCCTCACCAGTGTAAGGCAGAAATAGATTAAAGCAAGGTGGGCCTAGGTATATATTCGCAAGGGACAGAAAATGGGACAGCCTTAGGGCTTTTGCTCAGTGTAAGCTCACAGACTTATGACGCAGAAGAGTGGCACATAAGTGTCTTTCATTGCTCAGTGACTCTTATGTGGACACGTGGCCTGATCTACACCCTGGAATACTGATGGCATCTCTTCCCTAGGGAGGAGGTAGGCACAGGAGTGGAGGGAGACTGAAACCCCCTTTCAACACAATTCTAAGAACAAAACCAACACAAGAGGCATGGAAATGTTTCAGTGCGAATATGTGAGACTTCAATAAGAAATCAATTTGTGAAATCAAAGCTTATTTCAAAGTAACAGAAGTCTTTTTAGTTTCTTTAGTAGACAATTTATTTTGATAAACTTGCTCAATAACAAAAATACAAGTGAAGAAAATTATGTTCATTTTATACAGTTGTATTAACAATTTGTTTTGAAATTATTAATTGAAAAATGTTATAACCAATTAGAAAACAATTCTCAATAAGGTTGGGATAATATACAGACCTCGATCACAAACTCTACAATTTCTTGAGGGATACAACTAAAGTTCTGTGTAGGGAGTTCTCCCTACACAGGCCACTTTTTCCTTCATATATTTTTAATCCTTCAAAAATTTTCTAAATGACAGCTGTTTTGAATTGTGAACGTAAGTTTAATTTTTTAAAACAAGATCAAAGTGGGCTGATAAACAGTTATTACAATCAGAGTAACTTGTGGCCAGCAGTCTTTCAACAAAGACAAAATAAATGCAACATGTTCTTCCTATGAAGCCCACGATGCAAAATAATAGCTAAGAATATATCCAAAGTTAGTTTTCAATACTTTTTCCGGGCTTTTTCTCTAAGTCAATAGATTGTTGTCACCAGGACTATTTATTTCACTTAAGAGACTAAACAGTGTGTTCAGAGAACATCAAGTGGAGATATCAAAGCTTAGGCAAAAGGGTAAAAACCAATGAAGTGTTTTGGTCATCTAGAACATCAAAAAGAAAAAAAATGACATTCTTCAGAAACAAAAAAAATGAAACAAGGTAAGTCTGTAAGAGGTGGAAGAGTCAGAAAAACTACATCCACACATTAACAACACAGAGCATTCTTACCTTTGGGAAGAATCACACTGAAATGTTTGTTTTTAACGAATTGAAGATTTGTCTGTTTACAGATGTTTAGGCATGTTAAATAGGAGCTTCCAAAAATTTCAAACTAATTCAGTCTTGTGCAAATAAAACCTAAAAATAGTTTTCAGCAGATTTTACAGTGATACTCTTAGGTATGAGAAGAATGCACATTCTAAAAACAATGTACCAGACAAAAGTTTGACAAATGATTGCACCATAAAACAGTTTTATATACAGTTTACAAGATCTGACTTCCTGCTATAAATTAATACTGTACTATATAGTACTTATAGTGACCTTTTTAAAAGCAACTGCTGACAGTTGGCTATCTTTTCACTTACAGGATTTATAGAAACTTCTATGAATGAGTCCGTTTCAGTGTTTGGTCTGGACGAGCACGAAGACTTGGCCTCACACATTACGAGACAGGAAGGGCTCAGTCCTGGGTCAGGTGCTGAATGACCAGAGGGACCTCTCCCCCGCCAGGCCTTTACACACTGGACCTCCAAGACGGTGATGAAAGTAGAGACAACAGAATGGTTCGGGTAACAGATACAAATAAAACTGTGAATTTTGTCATCTTATATGCAATGCCACTGTAAGTGAAAGAAGTAAACAGTGGGGAAATTCTTAGCAGCTGAGAAACTTTCTCTCCCCATGCTCATGATCCAGTTAAAAATATTTTGAGAAACTATTTACAATAAAACCCATCTTTTGGAAGAGAGAAGCTCTTGGTCACATCATAAATTAATTTGAACAATACTTTGCAAACACTTTCTCTTAGTGGTATAACAGTATAACCAAAGCTTTCCATCAGAATGATCTATTTGATTGAGGGCTGATCAAATCACAACAGGAACTACAATCCCAAATGCCCACAGAACATATCCGGTGTATTCTTAGAATCGACTAGACATCGTAATACTTGGAGGGAAATGGTCTTCCTTGGATTTTCCAAAGGTTTTTGTTTTTAAACCAGGGGAAGGAAAAGTATAACATTTCCCTTGAACACTCAAGGAATGCACCCTAGGGGCCCCTCAACTCCCCAGTGAGCTGAAATGTGAGGCTTTTCTAACGCAATACTGTTAGGTTTACACGGACAGTCCAATATATGCATATCAAATAAGCCAGTGGGAAACACACCAAGCCCTTCCATCTCATACTATGAATATGTAAGGAGGGAGCCCCATCCCCGAAGTATCTATTCTATTTTTTTGTAATTTAGCTTCTTAAAACAGAGCGTTCACTTCTGTTTGCAGGAAGATGGGCTGCATGGGACCCTGCCTCCCCTTAGTGATAGAGACACTTGGGTTGCCTTTCACTGTTAGGGAAAAAACTTAGCTCTATTGCCATGAAAAACCCTCCTGCCCATATTTTAAACAGGAGATTAACTATAGTGTTCACCAGAAAAAACAAGTAAGCACTGACATGAAGGCATGGAAATGTGGAGAAGAAAAATACTGTATTTTAAAACTAACTGTGAGCTCAAAAGTTAGCTGCAATCTTCTTTTAGGGAAAAACTTAAAAGCTGTGGGTTTAGTACAGCCTTTAACATAAATGTAAAAATGTTAGCTTTTAGTAAACAAAGGCATATAGCACATAAAGAAAATATTGTATTGCTCAAGTATTTGGTAAAGATATAGTAATAATGCTGATGATAAAAAGAACAAAAATTTAATTTTTTATCGCAGAACGAAATTAGTACAAATAGCTAAAACAACCAGATACTTGCTACTGAATTGAAGTTATGTGAAGTTGTGTGCTTGAACATATAAAATGCATTATTAATGTACAGACCCAAGCCAGTAGAAAAGAATTTCTATACAATAGACAACAGTTGCCAATAATTTAAATAGTGTCAGATTCCCCAAATTATAAGGTTTGACATGATCTTACCTTCTACTAACATATACAAATAAATTAACCCTAGAAAGAATTTTTAGCTTAACTTAAAATTGCACCTAGAAAGGCATGGGATTATTTGTACCTATTACAAAAACCTGTTAAAATCAAGGGCTGCTACAAAGAATGAGGTAAACTGAAGACTCTCTCCACTATGCAGCCTTCAGATAAATGGCTTGTTTTCTATTGAGTTCTAGGTTTGCACACCACAGTGTTTTGCTAGCAAAGCATTCAGAATTCTCTTCCAAGAACTGTTTGCATGTGTGCATATATAAATTTACACACACATACACACACACACATATATACACACTGTATACGGCATCAGCAAAATATATATATTATATATATTTATATAAATATAAGGAAGATTTCCCCCACCCACCCCAAACAACATGTCTCTAGTGTTTGATTTCTTTTTCCTTGTTTTATACACAGAAATTGGGGAATTTCAGAATTTGTACATATTATTTTAGCAAACAAGTTTTGATCTATTGGCTTCTTGGTACAGTAATACAACAGCAATTCATTCTGGTGCCATAGGCTTAAACCATTACAAGGAAGCTGTGAATACTAATTTCTTAGGAGGTGAGGCCAGCCCCACATGAACTTCTCTTGCATCCCCTCTGGTCCATCATGATTCATAAATACTTAGACTGTTTTTATTCCTCAGATGAATGTTTAGACATTAAAAACGGAACAACAGAGTCACAAAGGGCCACATGCTTCTCAGTATAAAGCATCTCCTTCACTAGGTTGCTATCACAGTGCAGACTGACTGCCTGAATATGCTCAGGAGATTTAGTCAATATTGTCTGTATTTGGTTATGAAAAAGGCTCTCCTCATTTTTTAAAAATCCAAAGTGCATAGTGAGAACAAATCAAAGAATTTTTCTTTTCAACATCAGTTTCATCTAAGCATCTACTTATGAGAAGATCGCTCAGATGCCTTGTCTTTGTCCTCCCACCCTCTTAAAAAAAATTTTTTTTAAAAAGAAAGAAAGAAAGAAAATCAAGCAGTTTAGTCATTCATCAGCCCGGTAAACAAACTTTGCCAGCAAATAGAAGTCCTACTATTGTAAAGAAAATTGATAAGACAAAAAGTACATATGATGACCCAACTACTGTGTTGTTGGGTAATTTATAAGGTTGACCTCCGACTTCATTGATGTAAAATCCTATTGGAAATATTAGGGCAGCCATACAGAAAAGGATCACTGAAAAACAAACCAAAACACAACATTAGTAACATGGTTTGGTGATTAAAAAAAACAGAAAATTTGGCACAAAAGAAGTTCATAGGAGGTGTTGTGGGTCCTGTTAAAACATGGACCAGTTGTCAAAAGATCTGCCTATAATACAGGTCACATAATATCACTGATACTTAATGACTGAATCTAATAAAAGTTGGGTTAGCCCTGTATATAAGGATCATTCTGAATTGTCAGCATTAAGAAAAAGTCTCTAAACATACTAAGTATTCACATATACTTTCCTAACCATTTAGACTAGTAATTAAGGCCACTGGCTAGAACTAAGGCTACATTCCGGCCCTGCAACTTAGTAGCCTTCAGTTGTAGGCCTCTAGCTCCTCTCTGAAAATAGGGGAAATATCAGAGGATAAAATAGTTTTGAATCTCTGGTATAATGCCAGGTTGACAGGAAGTGCCGAATAAGAGCTGCACACTGTTATCGTCATAGTTATTATCCTGCCAATTCTCCTTTTGCTATTTGTCAGAAGGAGTTAGAAAAAAGGTCTGCAAAAATAAGTATCATTTCTCTTACTCTAAATTAACTAGTAGAAAAAACATTAGATCTTTGGGATGATTATTAGCAAATTGATGGAGTGGTTATCTCTTATCTCTGTCATATTTTTTGATTTGCAGAGATACTAAAGTGTGGGAGGGTAAAAAAACTCTTGAGTTTTGTGTATGAATACAATAAAATTTATTACTTACTAAAATGTTTCTAGAAAGGTATCATATGTGGGTAGAAGTAACTCCACAGTCCAGTTCTTTAGCAAACAGTGTGCTCCCCTGTGTTGCCAAAGAAATGCTCTTCTCAGTAAACAAAAAATACTTACAGACAGGCCAGCTGTTTTTTTTTGGGTACTGGGGATCAAACTCTGGTCCTTGCTCTTGTGAAGCAGATGGTGGCACCACTGAGCTAAATCCCCAGCCCTTGCCAGCTTTTCTAAGAAAATATTTTTGATTTTGAAGACACACTGTTTAAATATTCATAATCTTTCACATTTCTTTGGAGCAAAAATATTCCTTCAGTATAATAGGTAGACAGACTTCTGGTCACTGTATGTGAAGCTTTCCATTATTAATTCAATGAGAAATCTTTTCAAATTAAACCTACCTTAGGAATATGGACAGAACCTTGGATAAACATATTAGCTGACACTGTCTGTACATCTTTGTGTATATATTAATCATCCAACAGAATTTAATATAGGAATCTTTAAAAAGCCAATTAGAAATTGGATGGAATACCTTCAATAATATATTTAAAAATAACATCTGCTTAAGTAATGCACCACTTAAGAAACATACCAGCATTCTGCTTTGCACCATTTAGGTAGATTTTACGTCATAGACATAGATAATATTTCATTTCAGAGAAAATGATCCCACAAGAATATTTCATAAACAAACTTGGATTCTTTCTGATACCTACTATAGAACAAATGAAAAATTCAGGTACTAAATTTTATTTAGTTTTTGGCCCTTCTGTTGTATAGTCAGCAATAAACAACTTTATGAGTGTTACCAATGCCCACTTATCAGTGCTGTCATTAACTTTAGTGGTTCTTATGGTTTAACACAGTTTGGAGTGTAGCATACAACCAAAACCTAGGTAGCCATAGACAATCTCATTTAAAAAAACAAGCAGACTAGGCATGACAGTATAATCCTGTAATCCTAGCATTCTGGGAGGCTAAGGCAGGGAGACTGCAAGTTTGAGCCCAGCCTGGGCAACTTAGTGTAATTCTGTCTCAAAAATTAAAAATAAAAGAAGAGATAGGGATGTAGCTCAGAGCAAAGGCCCTAGGTTTAATCCTTAGTACAACAACAAAACAACTTTTTAAGGTTGAGTAACTCAAAAAACACTACAATAATTTAAAAGAAAAAGTTGAAGAGATACACGTTAAATTTGTTCTTTCTGTTAATTGGTGTATGTGGGCAACTTTATGCCTTTTCTACTGTAAAATCAAGATCTTTTATAATGAGGTGCTTACTTAGTGACTAGTTGGAATTGAATATTCTCAAGAGTATATGTATATAACATATACAGCTAATATATTAGTTAGAAATTCATAATTGTATCTGGTATACTTATACAAAGAATTTATCTTGTATATTTCACAAGAAAATTAACTTAAAAAAAGAGTTTAAAAAATTACAAATTGGTTAGAAAAGCCTAGCCAGTGTTATGGAAACAATGAACTCCTATTCATTCTAACATTGGTTTTAAATCCTAGGAATTACATTATCTATACTTCCTGGGAACCAGTTTTAATGGAGGTGGATGAATCTTTCTCTCAAGTTACAGAGAACGGGGAAGATAAATTACTTTACCTCTTAAAATATCACTAACATTGGTATGTGTCACCTAAATAACTTGTAAAGATGTAGCTTCACATCCTCCACAGCACAGGTTATTTGGTGCTAAGAGTGAGAAATCAGTTATACTGGTAGGTGAAGCATTAAGACAGAGCAGCAAAGGAAAGGACAGGCTTGGACTTGAAGAAGCAGATTCATTTTCATTTCTTTTGCCCCCACAGGCAAGTTTCATCACATGAGGCTCTCCTTTGTGACCTATTTCCTCCATGTACATGGCCATTTGAGTTACACTCAATTTATTATAAAAACCACAGCTTAACTAGAATAGAAATATGTACAATAAAGTACATCTCTAAGGCCCAAAAGGAAGCATTAGGGAGAGCCCAATTCCTCTCACAATTGCCACCCCAGACCAGCTGCGATTACAAATATAATATTGAAGGGCTGGGGGTTTAGCTCAGTGGCACCGTGCTTATCTTGCAAGTGCAAGGTCCCAAGTTCTATCTCCTGTACCAAAAATTTTTTTTTCAAAAATAATATTTAAGGAAATGAAGAATAAGGCAGCTCTATGCCTACTTAAAAATCAACTCTAAAATATATTAAAAAAATAAAAGTAGTACAGAATAGTGTAAAAATATTCATATAAATATGTAAGGCAGACAGATGTATGTGTGTATTCCCTATATGGAATACTTCTAGTAGGAAATTTCAGAAACTAGTTTAATAGGGATTGGATGGCCAGGTGACAAGGCCACAATGAGACTTTTCATTTGGTTACCCTTTTCAGAGACTCTGAATTATGTATCTCATACACTTTTATTTTTAAAAGTTAGCTTAACTAAGACGTAAAAGAAAAATACAATGCATTTGGGATTGATTGTACATACTTAAATATTTTCTGTTGAAGGGGAATGAACTACAGGGAAAACCCTACTTCTCTCTCTTTCCTGGGTCTGCTCATGGAAGCATCTTTATGCATGCTTTGCTTCCTACAACTTTGCTAAATTGCAGTTTAGATTTCTGGTATTCAGAGCATATGCACTCCCAAATTTCAACTAAATGCAAACACTAAATCCTTCTTTGATATTATTTTACTCTTTAAAGAGTGAATTCTATCCAGATAAGTGATATGTCTATGAATAAAAGATACAGAATTATATCCTTTTAAAAGTCCTCATTGGTACTCTTTAGCAGCCGTGTCTTCACAACTGTCTCTGCCCTTACTCTCTAGAAAAGAACTGTCTTAGGAGTTCTCCTCCACAGAGGAAAGCCCTTGTTTTCACATTGCTTAACAAGGGTGCAGAAGCTTTTCTATATCAAAAAACAAGTTACTTGATCCAAATTTTAAAATTAAGGGAAATATAAACTGAAAAATATAATGCCAGAGCCAGAAACACACATGAAAGAGAAAGTTTCACTGAAAGCTCAGGAGAAACAGAGACCCATAAGGGAATATTACTATTCCATAGTCTTAAAGATAAACTGTGTTTGAACACTCACAGGGATGAGATTATACTTTAAGCATACTAGTTCCAAATAAAACAAGTGAAGGTAAGCTGTGTTGTAACACCTATTTTCAGAAACTTAGGCAAACATGAAATGATTTTGAGATACTGAATTGGAAGCTAAGGCTCATGGTATGTGGTAGCTATCATCACATTTCTTTAGAGGAGGATTTCTCAACAGAGGCACTACTGCCATCTGGGGCTGGATAATTCTTCATTATGGGGAGTCATCTTGTACATCTGGAGGCTGTTTAGCAACATTTCTTGCTGCCTCTACACACTAGACCAGTGGCATCTCCCTAACTGTGACTATCAAAAAATTTTCATATACTGCCAAATGTCCTTTAGGGTACAAAACTGATTTAGAGAGAAAGAAGGAAGAAAGCAAAATTATAGAAATATCTTTTCTTTGTGCATTTATGCTTTTGTTTAACTTGGGATAAGCTTCTGATATGTTTGAAATTAAACCGATTTTGCAAAGTACAAGAGATTGTATAATGTATAAATTTATCATACCATTGTGTATAGTTTAAAGTAAGAAATGTTCCTAACCAATTATTTAAAAACCAAATGTTTCATTGATTCTTCAGTGGTCATACAACAACACACAGCAGAAACTCAAGATCAATCATATTAAATAGCAATTCACCACCTTCAACTAATTCATATTTTTAATATGTTTTCTGATTTATCTTTATTTTGATAGAAGATACCAATACCTTCATAAAGAGAAGACTCAGATTAGTGGTAGCTCTGAGTCACTAACCTGAAATAACTTGTGTTACAATGTGATAAATAATAAGATTCATTAAAATAGCAATTCATACAAAGCAACTAAAATTGTGGATGTCCTCGTCTTGTAGGGAGTTTTGAAGAACTGATGGGACTGAAGACTTTACCTCATGAGCATATGAAAATGGTGCTCTCTGATGAGTATGCAGTCCTTATTACTGATTCTGGATTATCTTCATAAACGCAGCAGTGTGTGTGCTTCTACACAACGCAGAAGCACAGGTTACTTACTTCCAGTGAATGCTATCCAACGAGCATATTTTGTAGCTTCTCTTCGCCAGTGGGAAGCCACCAGCAAACCACATGTGACAGTCAATGAAATGATTCCCATGATGATAAAAAACAGTGTGGTGACCCACTCGGGGGGAAGCCGGGGAGGGATGCATGTCCGGTCTCGTCCATGGATGGTCTGACACTGTCGCACTAGGCCCACAGTGAGTGCTCCTGGGAAGATGCAAAAGGTGGGAAAGGGTTAGTGGTCTGGCACGCTCAGTGAATGCTTCCCATTACCCCCTGGCTTTAGTCTTCAAATCTTAATTGTCTGTTTGTGAGTCATTCAAGTACTTAATTCCCAAGAGCTACTCTTAAGCATTCTGCTGTCATTTGTCATATAGCAATACCTGGCATAACATACACAGTGAACTTCAGAAACAAAAACAAAAACCCAAAACCTTACAGAAGCCCTAAGAAGCAGATAAAAGACAGTTAATTCAGTAATTCATTATGGAAATACTCTTCTGAGTGCTTCTGTCTGGCATGGCTCTAGACTCCAGAGAAATAATAGTGAACAAGACAGATGAGGCTCCTGCGCTCACAGAACTTGCAAACTGTAAGACAGAACTGTGACTCTTTTATTTCAGATTCAAAACTCACTGTGTATTACTTTTGGCGGGGGAAAAGGCTTTTTAGGAAAATGAAAAGCTTGAGACATGCCTAACCTAATATATAAATAAAATTAAAAAACACTGAAAACTAGAAGTGATATGTTTATCAAAGTAAAAGGATCTAGCTCACCAATTTTTATACAATGTACAAATGTTCATATTGCCAAATCATTACTGGCATAAAGACAAATTGCAATGGTAATTTTTATAAAGTCCTCCCTCTGCTTTAAATAAAATAAATGACTTTTTAAAAACACTGAGGGCTGGGGATTTAGCTCAGTGGTTCTGCCGCCTGCCTCACAAGTACAAGGACCCGAGTTCTATCCCCGGTATGGAAAAAACAAACAAACCCAAAAAACACTGCTCTAAAAACAGACAGAGTGCTATCTTTCCATATGCACATTCTCTTGTCAAACCCAAGAAACCTGTCTATCAAATTTGGAGTGGATTAATTTACAGAAATCCAAATCAAAGAGTATTTTCTCCCCTTCACCGATAAGAAGAATAAAACGCAAGAGGAACTGCAGGTGGGAAAATAGTTACCAAAAATACAAGAGTGGAAATTTCTGAAACTGCTGAAAATACAATAGATTTCTGCATCTTTATGGGGGTGTGTGTCTCATTTTGGTCTGCATTATTCTCTCAAAATAAAAAAGACACTGATATCAATATCATAGCACTTGCCATGAATAAGTGTGTTCTATGAAGACAGTAAGATTCCTAGAAGTTACTCTGGTAGGAGAAGCAGACCAGGGCTAAAACTGCGGTGTAGATGTCTGCGTGTGAGGCAAGATGGATGGAGGGATCTCCTTTGTGTAACTCGTATTTCGCCACTGACACATTTTTTAGAACTAAAGCACTATGTTACAAGAAAGTGAAGAAAGAAATCAGATCTGCCCTCAAAATTGTCTTTTTTTCTCCTAATGAGAAATCTGACCATAATTGTAAGTAGAATGAAACAAGTTGTACTTTTTCTCCCAAATATCTAAAAATTAGGCTCACCTGGCAATTCCAGCACAGGTGCAAATAGCATTTATAATTACGGGGTTGTCACAGGCAGGATGGAGGCGGATGGGACAAAGTGAACAAATCTTCATAGTAATGCCATCTGCTATGGCCCTTACCTGCTACTTGGAGCTGAGTAACTTCACAGGCCAAAGAGAAGTATTGTCAAGTGAAAATATCTGACATTATTGCTAGTCTTTCAGGTTTCGTGGTAAGGGCTTAAAACCAGAAGAGAGGATAAGGTAGGGGTGAGCAGATACCAGGGAGTTGCAAAACTGTTCTTAAACTGAAACACTAGAAAGTTTCCTTCAAAAGATTACTTGAGGGGAAAGAGTGTCTTACGATAGTCCACTTATTGTAATTTTAGAAATAAAGAAGTCATTCAAAGAAGTGCCTAAGAATTCCCAACAGGAAACTAGTCTTGATCATTCAGGAAAGACTTGCAACAAATCACTGTCTTGTAGTCACTGTTCACTTAGCTGTAATTGCTATTAGAATATAGACTACAAGCAATGAAAGACCTTCTGACAAAATGCAATATTGTGGATTCTTATTGTAGAAGCAACTTTCTTCATAATTTAATATACAAATAAAGTTCCACTGGTAACTATATAATATCTATTGGAGTGAGATTTACATTTGAGAATTATTTTTGGCTGGAAAATATTAAAAACTGGTAGGTTTATTAAATCATAATTAAAATAGCTCTCCTTTAAAATATTAGAGTATCCTTACATTGTCTCTCTTTCTTGGGTTATTTTCATGATGAGGTACATTAAGGATGAAATTCATCACTAAGCTTTCTGAGGATTGCTTTCCTCCTCTCCTGTCTGACATACCATACCAAGTGACTTATAGATAGAACAGGTAAGGATATGAAAATTATAGAGATAACAAACCAACTGGAAATAACTTGACAGATACTCAGCTTTGAACAAACTATGTTCCTACATTTATAAAATTCCTTTTCACAACAAATCAAGACTAAATATTCGGCAGTTCTGTCCTGAAAGAAAGGAGAGCTAATTCTAATTTACAACCACAAGATATACTGCAAATAAGAATATCAATACACAAAATGTTTTACTGTGGGATCAGGTGTAGCCCAATAGTAGAGCATGTACTTAGCATGTGTTAGGGCCTCGGTTCAATCCCCAGCAGCAGCCCCTCCACCAAATGAGTGCCATTCATTTTAGCATTACTATCGTAGCCAGGTACTCCAAAACTAATGTGCTTTTTACTTTCAGCAAAAATAGACTTTGCTTAACTATATTGTAAAAGGGCTAGAACAAACAATGGTCAGTCAAGATTTGTTATAATTCATTTTCTACAGTGTCTGTTGAATCAACAAAATCTGTATCATAGCCATACATTTTCCTTAAGCTAACTGGAGGAATCTGCCAGGGTAACTGTGCTGCTATTACTAAATCTTGTAAGTCCAGGTAGTGTTAGCACCCATACATTCATTTTCTGCCCATAGATGATTGAAGTCCACCCCTTTGATGGTCAAGATTTTTTACTTCAAATTTTCTTAACACCCTTGTCTGTTATCACAGAAGCATGTCCTTGATTTTAAAAGGTAGTGTTTTCCTTTGTGTGTGTGTGTGTGTGTGTGTGTGTGTGTGTGTGTGTGCGTGCGTGCGTGCGCGCACGCGCGCGCGCGCGCGCGCGCATGTACTAGGTATTTAACCTAGGGCCTTGTACATGCTAAGCTTCTGAGCTAAAAGCTCAAGACAGCTTCTTTTTACCTCAGACAGAGGCAGTAATAGTACCTTTTCAGAGGCAGTGATAGTGCCTTCTAGGTCAATGGAAGCCCCTACAGCACTGAGTATGAAGCAGGAATTAAAAGCATTCGGTGACTATAAAACAGATTTAAAACAAGCTAAATTTAAAGCCGTGCAGAATTAAGTTCTCTTGTAGAACTTTTGTTCAATGTGGGTACCTGCAACATACCCATATTAAGCACAAGCTCAGCTATTCACTGGTTTTTGTTTCAGCCAAGGGATCTCTTGCCTCTTGAAGGGCCCTACAACTCCATTCCCCAAACACCGATCTATCTTTATGCTGCAGCTGTTTCCTTGGCAACCAATCTAGCTAAATAAAAGACTTACACACAATAGAAAAAAGGAAGGAACACAGCAACTACAGCATCCCACATGTCTCCTGGGATCTCACCTGTGTTATCACACACAAAAGAAGTCATAACGAGTGTTACCCATTAAGGGGGGTTCTTAACTAAAGCAGATATTCATCTGTAGATCTAGACATTCTGAAAGGACTCTGCAGCCAATCGGAGCATGTCTGCTGCCACAGTGAGGATGGTTATAAGGCCTGCCATCACTACATGTAAAAGCAGTGTTATGGGAAAATCTGCCCCCCAAGGGATGTAAAGCAGAGAGGCACATGCCCATCATAGCCTGTCAAGAGCAAATCAAATTATATACTGTAAAAGTACTGATAAACATTTAAAAAAAAGACTGAATTATGGGAAGCACTCATCAGCCTGGCCAGGGAGCTTTGGCGCACAGGGGTTGGACCTGAGCAAAATGGTGATGTTAACATTTGTGGTTCAGGCTCGGGTGTAACAGTGACAGAGTGGTGGCATGTACAAGGTCCTGGGTTTGATCCCTGCGTACACACAGACTGCCTCCTCACATGTTTCCCCTTACACAAAATGCCTTCTCTGTGAGGGGCTTTCCCGGTTATTCTAGGTGTACCGATCTCTGCCACTAATGTAGCCCTCTGGCTCTACTTTCTCTCCCCAGATATAAAAATCTGTTCATCTTGATCACACAGACCAAACAAAATTGCTTCACCACAAATGTCTCAATGATTGATAAAAGCTTAACATACTGCCCCTCCCAAGGGCATGTGTATTTAAGCAAGGCACAGTATTCCAGCTTAATTAAAAAGATAGAATTTTATATTTTAGTAGCAGATTGGCTGAAGAAATTTAGGAGAAATGGAGACAGGTAAAAACAGGAGGGGACAGGTAAAAACAGGAGGGGACAGGAAAAGGGGATGGCCCCAATACAGGTGACAACATGTGCCTCCCTAGTCGTCACCCTGGCACAGTAGATGCACAATCACAGAAAAGAACAGCTGAAAGGTAACTCCAAATCTATCTTTACATACTTAGTTTTTTCCCCCAGAAACACAGATAGTAGTGATAATTTTTATTTGCTATGGTTTCTGTATGCTTCCTTAGGAACCAAGTGCTTATAAATAGTAAACTGGCCAAAAGGAGTGAACAGGTAAAGGAAAGGACCTTAATGAAGCAGACACAGATACTAAGAATCTGAGTAACATAAGGTGAGGCTCAGCACCAGTGTCCACTACAGTAGCACCAAACCTTCTTCCCATTACCTTTTCTCTCATAATCTCTTCCTAATACCTCTAGTCATCAATCCCTATACTCTGTCCCCATCTAGTAATTTCCTACTGTCTTCCCTTCTTTCCTCGCCCAGCCTAGAATCCCGGATCCAGTATAAATTTTGTCCTTGATGCATTCACTTCTATGATGCTGAAAGCTGACGGAGAAAACCACCTGTCAGA